GGCAGAAGCTTATATTATAACACTAACTTCACGCCGATATTCTTTGCGGTCGTGGTACTTCCCCGGACGGACCTGCCCATTTGTGCAACAGCGAACTGTTGCATGGCCCTACCACTGTTTTATAAGTGGTTTCCTTTCACCTACCACTGTTTTATAATTATGACTTTTAATTTGTGAGCTCTCTCCTCACAACACGACACAGATTTTGATAGATCAACATTTAAAATTAACAATTAAATTGGTGCTGGCACCGGAATTTGAACTCTGGTTACTCGATTGTATTGAATTAAAGTACTACTACTACCTTGATACTGATCTATCACGGCTTTTAAAAGTTTATTAATAGATAACTGTATTTTTAAGTATCTAGAAATTGTATCCTTTTTTTTAAATTTTATTAATCATTATCATCATACTAATATTATATCAATAATTCATGCAGGTCCAGTAACAAAAAAGATAAGAAAAATATAATTAAATCAAATTATTCCTCTAGATAAAGGTTTTTTCAAATTTTGTTGGCCATTGAAAAAACCTTAAATTTATTTTTTATGTAGATCGAGGCAAACAAAGTTTCGTAATATCACTTCGTGACGCTTTAAAGGCGTGTCATAATCCGCCGGGGCCCCTTTCGTATTTTAATTTGCCTATTTTCTTCTTGTTTTGTTCTGAGTTTTAATGAAACATCCTAAGACTTAAAAAAAATTATTACCTCACAATTCTACTCTTATCGTAGTTTATTTTGTAAGTGTAGCAGTAAAAACGCCTTTATAATATTCTGGCTCCTAAACATATAATAGATAGAATATAGACGGTATATTTAAAAAATGTATAGTTGCCTATAGCTTCATCAGAACGGGGGTCGTGAATTCGATGCTATCACAGGACAAGTATATTATGGTTGCCTGACTTCAACAATGTGTAATACATTGTCAGCTGGTCTAGAAAAACCGGCCAAATGCGAGCCAGACTCGCGCACTGAGGGTTCCGTACCGTTATCTATAAAAAGGGAAAAATTCATGTCTGTTGTATGGAAGCCCCATTTAAATAGTTTTTTATTGTTTTTAAGTATTTGCTGTCATAGAGGTAACAGAAATACCTAATCTGTGAAAATTTCAACTGTCTACCTATCACGATTCATGAGATACAGCCTGGTGACAGAAGGCCGGACAGACAGACACAGTCTTAGTAATACGTAATCGATATCGATTACGTATTTTAATTAAGTATTATTTTTGTTGTTGTTATTATAATTGACTTTTCTGATATGACAAGTAGATAAATGTTTTTTTTATGTTTTATTGTACGTATCATCATCAAAAAAAATTATGTGCTTTTAAATAAAACCTAAAGCAATCTAAACTGGGTCAATGTGACAAGTGCTGATGCATGAAAAAATGATGGAAATCAGTTGCATATCAAACTGATTTGACCTAATTTTGGTGTAGATCGATAAAATGTTTCTATTTTTGAATTTTACTCTGAATATTTTTGGCTGCAGTAATGTTATAGAAAGACAAGAAAGTGTTGGATGTATAATGTAAACTCAATTCCTTAATTTTAATTTGGTAATAAATCTAAGAAACTAAGTTCAAAAATACTTTATTTATATATATAACCAATATTGCAAGATGTGGTCAAATTCAGGTGTCAACTGTTACAAAAAACGAGAGTTATATAACAGTTTAATTAAAATACTCAACTATAAACTATAATTCAACTCAATTAAGATTAATGACTAAAACCTTTCGGCTGTGCGGTATTCGAACCTGCGTCTTCTAGTTTCGCACACAAAGGCTTTACCAACTAAGCTAACCGGCCGATGACTTCACGGCGCGAAAAGCTTGACATCTATCTACGTTCGTTCCATTGCATTTTAGCAATGCTTGGCGCATCTAGTGTGCATCCTTTGCATTCATATATGTTCACTTTTCAAACTATATTATTTATTTATTTATTTCTTTACTTTATTAGGAAACTTCACAGCATACAAGAAATGTTTACCGTAAATACAATTAACAAGGATATTTAGCCATTAAGGAAGTTACAACTATATACATTTTTATTTTTATTAATGGTACGTTTGTGCAACAGGCGTAATACATATTTTAATCTGTAGCGGGGCGCGCGCGCGCGCGCGCTCGTTTGTGTGTGTGTGTGTGTGTGTTCGCGCGCACCTGCGTGTGCGTGCATGTGTGTGTATGTGTCTCTGTTAGCGAATGTATCTTAATTATTAAGGCTTATTCAGGAGTGCTTCAGAAACATTTTTAAGAAACTGCTTTCGTTTAAGATGAAATATGTCAATTTTACCAAAATTAACGTTATGTGTGTACATGTGCATGCACCTATATAAGACTGAGCTCTGGGCATGCTTTGTTTTAATTTCTTTTCTTTGTTCTAATTAACTCTCATTCTATAATATAAACTTTAGAATCTTTGAAACTGGCAATGCACTGTCAAATTAATAAGGAGAGGTTACCTGATGACCCAATAACATAAGCCTTGAGCTTTGTTTGTTGCATGTCTCCCAAAATATGGAAATCTATAAAATCAACATACACAGGCATCATCTCTATTACTAGACACTGTGGTGAGAAATAAAGGATTATTATTAATTAAGTCTACTACAAATAACTCGTATCGCAATAATGTTCATTATATACTATACAAAAAGTATATAAAAACCTTAGGAGAAGTAAAAATTCTAGTAGCTAGGTTTTTTACCTGGCTGCTAACCGAAAATTTAGTATGCCTCCTAAAGTATAAAATTCTCAATTTTATCGCTGAACTTTTACTTATGTTAAGAAGTTGAAAACTAAGCAGCATTAAACTGCACTTAAGTTCGTTACTTAGCTCCCTTATACAGTGGTGAGAATAGAACCTTATACCAGCTGCGACCACAAATGAACTAAGTTGAATAATAAAAATTAAGTTTAGTCTAAAGTTAAGTTTAAAAATTGGCTTTACTTAGCCATACCGCGAAGTCATTGTGAGCAAACTTACTTAACCTTTCACGTGCAAAACCAATTTCAGCTGAAGTGGATACTAAACTTACACTATAAAATTATCTCAATCGTGTTAGAACTACCAATATGCAAATATAATTATATAGGGCGAAACTGTTTTTAAAGTCAATAAAAGTTAATATGAGGAATGGACCTTGTGTTTAATAAGTATGAGTGATATGCGCGTCAATTTGGTGTATATGCTTTTGTGGGGTTCCATAGTGTTTGGTAGTAAGCTATTGCTATAGAAACTTGATCTACCCACTGTCTTAATATTATCTGCTATGCGGATCTCCCGTGAGATTCCGAACCAATATTAGAGACCAATAGTAGAGTGTTTTGTGGCGTTATCAGGCTATTTCTTGATGTCGTATCACTCCAGTTACCACACAGTATAACGATTGGTGACCATGGGGCTGTAGATAACAGAATCCCGAAATAACCTATGGGTACCTCTAAGGCGGATGAATAAAGAATTTCCCAATAAATATAGTAGTTTCAGGTTCGTCAAAAGTGCGTAGCTGACTGTTATTTTATTTTGATATTTTACTTAACTCAGTTCATAATTTGTCTAACTAAATGCTAAACTGTTATTTTCATTAATAGTTTATAGCCACAACCATATTTATGACCATATTATGAATCAATTATTACTTTGTATAAACTTGTCACAGAATAATAATTTAATCATCCCTTTTCATTAAAAATAAAAAGTGTGTGCGTGTAACCTTTACGCGCGATTGAAGTAAAACTTCTTTGGCGTTGACGGCATATATCACTGAAATGATTAAATATTTAGTAACGTCATAAGTATATGTCATATTTTAAAAATATTACATATACTTATTTTAAAAATATGAAATATACTTATGACGTTACTTCCGTCAGAAAAAATCTGAGTTCCCTAGTCGCGCCTAAAGAAGTTTTACTTCAAAAAACTCTTATTTTATGTCTATAAGCTCATGATAACGAACAGACGCAGGAAGTCGTAGATAGCAAATCCGGCTGTACGTTTTCCAGAATTGATTAAAACATATGCTCTGTATCATTATTTTATTATTTAATTCCATTTAAAACTTACAAAGTAAATTAACAAAACAACAAAGTGATAATTATATAATTTACATTATTAGATTAAAGAAGACGTGCAAAGAATTGACGTTACCTTATGTGAAAACACAGCCACAGATGCCTATTTACTATCACGTAAAACTATTTAACGTAGCAAAAAATTAACCACTCTGATATTAAATTCACAACAAGCAATTTATCTGAGTAATGTTTGTATGGCAGGCAAAGTTCATTATAGTATCAAATCTATATATACATTGCATCTTAACTTTTAATTAATAAATAAATTTGGCATTTTTTTTTTGCAAAAATTTGGCATTTTTTTTGCATAAATTGAACACCAAATTCAAAGGAGCGAAGCACATGTTACATAAATATATGCGTCGATAGTTTAGTGAATGTCATATGTCAAACTTATATTGCCGATATTACTTTATTTTGTACTTAGATAGAGCTGTTTTTATGTGAATACATGAAGAAATAAATATATATTTATTTATGCAAAATGTTACACGTTTCTTTGTATAATCTAAGCAATTATTTAAGCGAAATATAATATTTTATATTATTGTTTATGTAAGTGCACGCGGAAATGTAAGAACATCCTAATCATGTCACAATTACGTATGCATTTTTACTTTCTTCTCTAATTAACTCACGTTTCTATTAACAAGAAAACGTGTGCTGTTTGTAAATACAGTTCGTTCTCTCTGGAATGTAAAAAAAATAAAGAATTTCATTTGACACATTCACATATCCCTACACCTAGTTAAATTTAGTCAAACCAATGTTTGTTTTCTTATTGAGTAAAATCTATAACTTTATACATTCAATGCTCCAGTTATTATTATATCAATAGTGTGATTGTTTATTATCTACACTTAATACTAATATCACGACTTTATAACATCAAACCACTCCTCATAATCTGCTTGTCATATTATTTACAAGTAGGCGATTACTTACAAATAACACAATCCACAGATATTTATTGCAAACAGAAGCAACACCTGAAACAAATATTAGTTAGTTATTATTACAACGCTGGGTTTTTGAAGTTATATTTCTTTTGGGGCGTTTGGGAAAAATTCACTCTCATCACTTATGATAGTGAATGCGACACCCAAAGTCGACACCAACTTCATGGTGTTACCATAGAACCGAAAAAATATATTTCCCTATAATTGCATAAAAGTTTAAAAGTTATTAAATTAACCGGTATCAATTGCATTTAATACCTTTTGCACAAATAAAAAGCACACGGGATAAAATTTTTAGTCATTTATAGTTACGCTAACGAAGTAAAACTTATGAAACGTGTTTTTTATACAGAATTTAAATGAATTATCGTTGGCCATTAAGGAATGTATTTTGAACACACTGTGATGTGTGAGTTTAAATACTAACTTACCTAACAATACTATGAAAAATAAATACTAAGTTAAAATTATTGCATGAAAGTGACGGGAAAATTACCTAGCTAAAATGGATACCTAAATATTGTTTTCGAGTAATGAATAAGATTATGTCAAGTTAGTCTTTGTCACCAGTGAATAATTATTTCTGGGCTAAGATTTTAACATTAGTTTTATATTTTGAGTTATAGACTAACGGTATTGCTGAATGCTAATAAAGAAATCACTTTAATAAAATTATATCATTATTAACTACATGAGTTAAGGTAATAAAGACTGAGACAGAAAATTACAGACGGAAACTTTTTGTTCTTACGCTTTCACTGTAATAATTTAGCACAAATTAAGAGTAGCCACTTAACATTTCCAAGCGAAAAATATTTTTTTTTCAGTTATACAGGTTATAAAGGTACACATTTAAATATGAAATGTACTTCAAACTGTACTTGCCAGCCTTGCCATTTTATATTTAAATATGTAAATACTTGCCAGCCAAATTATAGATAATTACAAAAACCCCAAGAATGATGTTCACATATTAATGTAGGTTAATAGCTCACCTAAATTCGAAACGTATTTCGACAGCTGCGTAAGCGAATGGATGGTGATGATTGATGCCGCATCGCGTACCACAGGCGGCTCAACCATCAGCGTCGCTTCGCAACGCACACGCAAAGCCCCACTAGCAGCCGACGGGACCGCAACTCGCAAAACTCTCCAGGAAGCCCGCAAACCGCCGAACTCCGGGGCACTTAATTCCGTACGCTGCCAGACTTCGGGCTGCGGAATGTCATAAATACACTGCAGATGTCGCAATCCATGCAAACACGTGCACACACCGAAAAAATCACCAGCACTTAGTTATTCCCTTACATGTAAAGGAGTATTGGTTGTTTTGGAGAAATTATTATTTTACTTACACTACATTGGTCCACGTGGAATTGTTACCTAATGTAATTACAAATCGGTTTAAAAATATACTATATACATCACCCCAACTGACCAATTTCTAAAAAAATATAAAGCACTAAAAAGTACGAAATTAACTAAATCAAATAAATCAAAGTTGGTCTCATATTTTTTTAAGTCTATACGATAGGTGGTGTCATTGCATTGTCATAGAGGGAATTTTACAGTACAGATTGAAATAGACGTTTTAGAAATAAGAAGCTTCGCATTATGTTAATAAATCTTTGACCGTAATTTTGTTTGTAATTAACTTCGGAGGCTGATATTGGTTAGAAAACTAAAATGTAAATTTTTAGCCCGTGTTTGTTCTTAACATTTGGGGGAGATGAGGGTGGCACGGGTGGAAGTTTGTGACGCGATCGCGCGGGCAAATTGCTGCTAATATTTGGATTACGTTGTTACGTTTCATACACAATTTACTCTGTAGATATTGTTGTTTTAAATGTTTAAATATTCAAATAAACATAAACCACTAGTAAGTTTAGTTAGAATAACAATATTTAATACATTTGAGGGACACATTTCCTGGTATTTTGTTGTTAACAATAATTTTTTATTACAATAATTTGAACAAAAATACAAGTTAAATACAAGCTTTCAATCATCAACCATCTGTGGGTAAAAGTTCGTAAAAAAGAGAGCACTCGAACCTTTGAACATAATATGGTATGCAAATTGAATACAATTATGATTTTTCTGGCGAACTTAAAAAAATGGGTCGACATCGGCTTATTTTATTTTATTAAATGAGGTCTAGAAAGGACGTTACCTGCCCAACGCCTGCCAACGTAATTCCTATATCCCAATCACAATAATTGATAGTACCTAATCCAAGTAGATTGGATTTCTCATTCCATTATCGGAGCATGAGTGCAAACTGTTAAATCGAGTTAGCTATCTCTCCAGTGCAAGCAGTCTAGAGTGATAATTGTACAAGATTGCTTACAAACCTTTTGCAGTTCATTGTCAATGTACCAATTAATGTCGGATGGCGGAAGGGAATAGTCCGATGTGCAATTTAGCAGTAATTGCTCCCCGGGCTTCACTAGTTTTGGTGCTCCAATTATAACAGGATCATTTTCCGGCATAGCTGAAAGTAAACGTACTTTTAAGGGTACATACAATTACATTGAATATGGGACAGGATTCATTGCTGGAATATTATAGATTCCAGACAATGATGATATAATGAATTGTAGAACCTACGAAACATAATTATGTTTATTTTCAGTTATACAGAGAAAGGATTTTTCGAACCAAATGTAACTAAAGCTTTTAAAATGTGTACGCAAGTAAAAACTTAGCGATAGATATGAGATTTGTTTCCCGCTAAGGATTAATCATCTTAGCATAAAAAAAGGTTTTTGTAATTGTGGATTTATTTTGAGATACCTACCTGTTAATACCATATTATCAATAACTTAAGTTCGAGAAAAACCTTAAAAACTGAAAGGACTTAAAAGTAATTCATAACTCACTTTTAAATGGGAAGGTTTACGGAGGAGGACGCACAAACCGCGATCTATAGCGTCAACAAAAAAAGATGTGCATAAAAAGCTGATAGGCGGACGCTATTGTCCCTATCTAGCCTTTTAAGAATAAGGACCGAATGATAAAATTAATCATTGTGTTGGTTTTCTGTTCGTCTTAATTACATAAATCCATTTATTGTTGCAATAAAATATTTGTTAATCGATATAAGTTACAAGATTTGTTCGTTACATACGTTACGCACAATTTCAGCAACACGAGATGAACTTTTTTATATAATGTTTATGTATGAATTTAAAAAAATGAATTACCAACAACAGTCATGTGCTTGGTCTTTCTTGCTATTTGGAATTTGGGGCCCTCTGTCGATACCTCACATGTATATGCAGCCCTTGTTGCAAGCGGTGGGGGCATCACTCTCACCAGACATGAGTCAATCTGACAAACCCCGCCTTGAACCATGATGCCCGTAACATTGAACAAACGTATCGGTGGCTAAAACCATAGAGCAACATTTAATACATGTTCATCACTGTATCGATTATTCTTTTAAGCGAACAATTAAATTCATATTTAACGATATAACACAATAATATTATAATATTATTTTATTTTATATTGCAAATATCAAATCTGTAAATGTTCCCATGTATTTTTAATGTTCATTTTGTGTTTACATAATAGCGTACCTTTTGCGATGGATTATAGCGAAATATTTCGTGAGTATCCCTGTACCATTTCACTGAGTGAAGTTTTTGATCATCCATTTCGAAGTGACAACTCAGTTCGGCTGCTCGTCTAGGATCTGCGTACAGCGGTACTTTTAACTGTGTAATTTTGTGGGCTGACGTTACCACTGTTAACAACGTTATGCATGTTAATAGTTTCTAATCACGGCTCTGTCGTAGTTGCTATGTTGGTACGTCTTAATTATATTTGTACATCGAACATAACATAGAGACACATTAAAAAAATTGTCGAAGGAATTGTGTCAATTTTAAGAGCGATTATTTAATATTTTTATTCATGACGGCATCAGTTGTTTTTAATCTATTTTTAAAGTCAAAAAGAGTTATTTTATCATTAAAATGATCGCACAAAGTGAAAGTTGATAATACAACCATAATTGCTTATATTAAAACCAATTGTACTTTGCTTCAATTGATGTTCCCTGGAAGTTTCTGCTACAAAATTAGCGCTACCTCTCAGGGGATTAACTTTCAAGCTTGGTAACCGTTTGGCAAATTAGGTACGTCAGTGTTACAGTATTTGGTCCCAAAGGATACAAAATAAAATAAAGTAAGCTTAATAATAATATAGATTATTTACTACCCTCTCCTACCATAAATCATCGTACCATATAAATGAACACGGTGACACGAAATTCACATATGATTCTAAGAATAAATGAAGTTGTCTGGTGTTTTCAATTTTTTTATTTTTAAATATTGTTAGGTAAAATAGGCAATTTAAATGCAATGACAATAAGTATACTTTAATACGCGTTATTCTTATTGTAGTAAATAGGCCGTGAAATAACAAAGTTTGTGTCGAAAAGGTCAGCGCCATCCATCAGAAAAACCGATTTTTGTTTCAGAGCAAATTCTATCTTAAGTTAAATAATATACGTATTTAGAAGATTTATTTTCCACCATCCATCTACCAAAATATATTGTAGCCTGGTTTATAAAAGTGAGTAAATAATTTATTCCCAAATAGAAATTCGACTCCCTTCGTCCCACTTTCGCATTTGAGGGTTCATTAGAAGGCAGGCGATAAACTCTTTTTTTTTTGTAGGAACAAGCATAAAATATATAAATATTTTACACAATTTCTTAATAATCTTTGCTTAAAATTTAATATTCAATATCGAAGTAATATTATAAAGCCTACGAATCCCGTCATTATACGTTGCTTCTTTAGAAATATTACTAGTGTTTAAAGCTGCCACAATTCTATGTCGTATTAAGTGTGCTAACAAAAAGTACATTAAAATATGATGTGACACAATGCTGCACGAATTAAAAAAAACGAATAACATTAATATCGTATAAATGAAATTAACTTTACGGTGAAAATTAATGGAGGTAAGTGGAAAATTTCCATGCAAAACGGTCGCGTGTGAAACGGCATTAGATGACAAATAGATAAAGGCTCTTCTTCCTGTGGTAACCTAATATAACAACTTTATTGTATCTTTTTAAACAGTAACTTAATTACATACATTTGTACTTGTAGTAGCAATATTCTGTAATTAGGGTTCTTTTTGTACTTGTAGTAACAATATTCTGAAAAATTTTATTACTTAGGTTACTTTACCTTAACTTAATAATATTGAGTTATTATTCATTAATATGCACAGAATTCTAAAGTTTACTAATGAGTAAACCTTAGAGTTCTGTGCAAATCATATTTTATATTTTGTGATATGAAATCTGTTTTTTTGCATTTGTAGAAGGAATTATTAGGTATACTATTTGTAGAAAAAAATTGAACGCATTATTTTTCAAACAAACTAATTAAGTAAAAAAGAAACAAAATTTGTAACATCCTATACAACTCGCGCCACAGCGTCGCATTACAAGCCTCTCCTTCTAACAGTATGTTTTGTCTCTTTTAACCTCATTCAACCCATTCATACGCTTTGTGACCTTTACAAATGAACTTTACGTTACAGTTTTATACGTAAAGGTGTTCTAAAATTATTTGTTTTGGAAAATTTTATTACTCAGTAAATATTGATGTTTAAAGAATGTAAATGCTTAATACAATTTTAAAAAGTTATCCTCTATATGTGTGTTCATTTATTGTCGCGGTGGTAACGACTCTTTTCTAAAGGTGCCCAAATTCACACAGGAGGTCCAGACTCGGTAGTATAATCGTTTATTGAAATAAAAACAAACTTAAATTTTTTTAATTTCCATTCTATTTCCTAGCCTCCCTACATCAATTTTTTTTCAATACGAGGATGTTTATAGTCTGACACACATCTGGTTTCAACAAATCGGCAATTATATTTCGTCATTACATCTGAAAGTAATTATTAAGAATTCCATTGGAGTCGATATAGTAATTTCTCAACTCAGATTGGACGATAATAATAAATGTAAAGAGAACACGAACACTGGCATTTCATTGGCATATTTACGATACTAAAACAGTTACGTAAATAAGCCAATGAAATAGATTTTTTTTAAATCAGAGTCATAAAACTTGCAAATAAATTTATTAATGAAAAGGTAAAGGCGTACAGAATATCTTTTTATTTTTTTGTTATAAAACAAAGAAAGTTATAAATATTAACTAGATGGAATCATGCCATAACCTGGCCCCGTTCCAGCATTCCAAGTATCAAATTGTCATGGCAATAACTTTTATACACGTCCTGATTTCTTTTGTTTTACATATAACACGTATACAAAGCGCAATATTCGTATTGTCCAAACATGAATAAATTTCGAGCAAAAGTTTTATACCTACGAATATTCATATAAAATAATTGAGACTCATAAGGATATTACTTTCATTATAGTGCGAAGTGGGGCTAAACTCGAGAATTATTGTATAGCACGGATTGACATGAAAATAATACTCAATAAAATTTATAGACGGAAAGAAAAAGTTAAGTAAAGAAAACTAAACTGAGAAACTAAGAAAAAGTTAACCAATTTTTTAAATAGCTTCTTTATGTCACTATTTATTCCTATACACGAGATTAAAGATATTATTATATTTACTTTGCAATAAAGACTCAGATATAAACAATACTTTCTCAATTTTATACTCAATTTTGCTAAATATATTACCATCAAATAACAACATCAATATTTGCCTTCACAATTAGATCAATAAGCAATAATGGCTCTTGTGAATACTGTATGTTGTACCTCATCCAAAAGTTATAATTAAATGGTAATCGAACTTGTTTTAATGGCGAAAGTAAACAACAATTTAATTTAAAATGATGAGGTTAACAGACAACATCAGAAAACCATAATCATTATAAACTTTCCAATATTACTATACAAGTTACATACATTTTGTAAAAATTTGATTCAAACTTTCACATATCCAAGAAACAGTTATAACTATCATACTTTATTTGTTGCAAAAATGGTGGCAAAAACTCAAAAGGTTAACGGTGTGAAATTTCGCTAGTGAATGGCCGAACTCTAAGGTATAAAACATTCAAAATATACAAGCGAATATATAGCGAATAGAGTCCCATCTTTTTTTGAAGTCAGTTATAAAGAAACTTGTTTCTAATAAGAACCAATAATCTTTAACACAAGAACCCAAAAGTTCACTAGTATTTGGAAAACGCGCTATACAATCAGAAAAAGAATTTAAAAATATTTTTTTGTCTATGTAAAAGCGGTCTATAGAACAGCTAAATTTAACGGCTGGCAAATTCTTTTAAGTCTTCAAACGGTCATGTACCATAGCAATTTAAGCCGTCTGGCAGTAAAAATAATCGCTATAATACAGTGCGGTCGTTGACTGGAAATATGCCAAACCATTGCAGCGTGCGAGATGCGGATGATGTGGTTTCCTATAGACGCTCACGCTTCAATTGAATTAACAATTTACATCCACACATGGTAGACATGGTAGAAGTCACGTGCAAAATTATGATATTTTAGCTTTTACACGTTACGTTACTGTCAACCTTACGTTTTAACGTGTTCTTATTATAATTGAAGATATTATTATTAAGGAGAATAGATAACGTTTAACTCTTTCCAAACTAAGCAAAGCTCCTACTAGTTACCTTTTATCAGTTGTACAGTAGCCCACTGTATAACTGATATAAGGACTTATACTTCATTTTGTAAGAAAATACATATATAGATATTTAAATAAACATATATATACATACATTTATAGATAAATATTCAGATAATAGAAAACAAATTGTTTCTCATTCAAATATTTTTTCGGGACGTCAGCTCAAATTAATTATTAACATTAATTATGTAATTTCTGCCTAGCTTCTTCCCATTTAGATATCTTATACATGACTGATTTGTAAAACCCGGGCACCGGGTATGGCATAAAATTGATACAAAGCATACATACACTGTATTTAATTAAATTTTTCCTTTAAAATTAATAGTTCTATCAATAAATATCTCTGGAAGTCGCACTTTTTTCAAGGCTGGTGAAAATTTAAATAAAAACTTACGTTTTACTTCTCGCATATATTACAATATCAACATTTCGTCGGTAAGTGTGGTAAAGAAACGAATTTTATTATCCCAAATATTCTCTTATCGCAAGAGTTTATGTCGTAATTGACTGATCGCAACTTTAATGAGTGAACCGATTATTGAAAAGAATAATCCATAGTTTTAATCTTAAAGATTCAAAATGTCGCAATCGTAAATATTCGTATTTTTTCCCGCAAATTTCTTGGTACAGACATTGTTATTTGTACAAATTTATTTTCTAGAGAAATGTGCGAAAAGATTTACGAGCTGCACGCTCCAACAAACAGAAAAAATATGTAAGTGAATATTTCTTTATGCTACAATTAATGTTTAAATTTCTGTATTGGTTATGTTTTAAGTGCGGCTATATTGTTAAAATGTGTATTCTCTTATGTTTTTCATATCACTAAGGACTTTGAAAAAATTAGCAATCATATTGAATTCTTTATATGCACGCAAAACACTAAATCAACATCAAATAGATTAATATTATATATATAAAGATAGAATTTAGATATTATAGATCTAGATCTAGATTATAATCTTTATTATTATTATGTATAAAGTTTATCAGATTAAAGTTATTTTTTTTCCCCCTATTTGAAATATTGTTAATAAACTGGTGATTTGTTATGTATACATTTTTAATGATTGAAATAATTTTGACACGGCTAAATTACACTACACAATGTGAAATTAAAATACATAAATTTAATTTTATATAAAATATTACAAATAAACAATGACGTGATTAAAACATTATTTTTACTTACCACATAACGCGAGTACTGGAAAAAACCTCATTTTTAAAGATTTGTAATCCTTTCGATATTACATAATACTTTTTTGAAATTTCACTTGCACTTTCATCCATGAGATATTTTGATATTCTTTCATCACGATACAAACATCAGTTAGGATTAAAATTAAAATGTCACTGGCTACTCTTCATCAAAATCGCTAAAGAAATCAAACTAGAATAAATACATGCATGCGAGAAGCGATATATGTGGTTTATGTTAAAATTTCTAGACCATTTTTTGTTGTAGTTTACAAGTAACGTTCACGTTCGTAATTTTAAACTGAATGGTGCAAACGCGGAACGTGGTGCGAGATCGGTAGCTGTCCGCCGAATGTCCTTGAGTTTCCCGCTAGGGTTGGGTCATGCGCACTATCGACGCGCCTGAAAGGGTCCTTAGTGGATTAAGTTTTTAAACTTTGACAATTGATGAAATGAGATCGAGTTTGTTAAGGTGGAAACGTTAAGGGGAAAGTTATTAATAAAGCACTCTCCCTTGTAAATAGCATTTCACGTTTTAATGTTTTTACTGCTTCGACGTTTTCCTGTTCAATGAAGACTTATTTCTATGAATTAAAACGCTATGTATTATGTAGATAGGGCTGCAACTTTTATCACTTTTTCTGTGGTGTTCTTGTCAGAAGTCGCTGACTGAAGACAACGATGCATTATGATAGAAGGAGCTTACTCAGTTGGATCGAAGAGTTCGCCAAATAATTACATATATTATATTACACATACTAATTATAATAGCATATTCATTAATTTAAATTAATTATAACAGCAGGCAAAGGAAAGGGCGTTATGCCTGATTAACATTTTTAATTCTTGTGTTCACTCTTCCAGACTTCGAGCTAATTGCCAGAAGGCAGTGTGCGACGGCTTAATGACAACTAGGCAATTACAACTTTTACTATTTAATATAAGTGTCTACAACCCTGGGGACACAAATTTTCAAAATTTTATAGATATATATGGAAAACAATTGGAACAACATAAAAGAGCGATAGTTTTTGGAGACTTTAACATAGACCTGTTGACAAAAACTAAAAAATTAAACCAGTATAAACAAACAATTAACGAATCAGGATATAGATTACTCAACAAAATTAACCAATCATACTGTACAAGAGAATCGATTACAAAGAAATCCATCTTAGACCACGTTAGTACTAACTTAAAAGGTGACCACTTCAATATTGCTGTTGTCAACTCATGTATGTCAGACCATAAACAAATATATGTACAACTAAACAAATTTAAACCGCCACAAAAAGTAAGTAGACACTATGAAGCAATAAATTACAGAAACATGTATAACTCAATGGAATCAGAAGGACTCGGAAACGGGCTTAATTACTGTCAATTGGAAACCAAAATTAAAAAGCATGTAGAAGACAACAAAGTATTGAAAACTAAAATTCTATATACACTTAAAGAAAATTGGATTAATAATGACATAATTTCCGGAATTCGCCAAAGAAACTATTTATGGATGCAATACAAAAATAATCAAGAAAATAAAACATTAGAGAAAGAGTTTAAACTAAGACTTTAAACTAAGAAAAAGATGATAGCAAAATACATCCATGATACGAAGAATTCCTATTATTTCAAACTATTTAATAATTGTATTAATAAGCCTAAAAAAATGTGGTCTCTAATTAATAAAATAGCTCGCAATAAAATAAAACAGAGTTGTGCTCCTCCAAAACTTCTTATAGATTCTAAACTTATTACTAAAACAGGCGAGATCTGCGAGATATTAAACACATATTTCTCAACCATAGGGTCCCAACTGGCGGACAAGATACCTAATAAACACTATGATGGCTCGAACTATCTCACCTCCAAAACACAAACAAATAGTCATGAACTTTCTACACTAAACCCATGCACTACAGCTGAAATCAACACAATTATAAACAACCTTGACCCGAATTGTAGTACTGGTATTGATAAAATTAGTACAATGAAATTAGTACAATTAGTAAAATGTCTTCAAAATTGAATATTGAATTGTTTGGTCCAATGTTTTAATAAACTAATGATTGACGGAGAGTTTCCAGATACCATGAAGATCGCAATGGTTACACTGATCTACAAATCGGGACCCAAAACTGACCCAGGAAACTATCGTCCAATATCTGTGCTGCCAGTAATTAAAATTTTTGAACGAGTCTTACATGATCGCTTAAACTACTATTTAAACTCCTTTAATTTTATATCCGAACGGCAATATGGATTTCGAGCTAAAAGTAACACTACTATCGCAACAATAGATCTCACAACTAAAATAAAGGATAACATTAAAACATGTAGGAAAAAGTGCTAATCTCTGCATTTGGCATAAAAAACTTTAAAAAGGATAACATTGATAATAAGCACATTGTGTTAGGTATTTTTATTGATTTGAAAACAGCTTTTGATACCGTAAGTCACAAACTACTATAAGAAAAACTAGAAAGTGGTCTAAATTTTTTAAAATCTTATCTAACAAATAGATTACAGGTAGTACAGATTGGTAATTCCCAAAGTAGTACGTTACCGGTAACGCACGTTGCGCAACAAGGCTCTATAATGGGACCACTCCTATTTTAATATATATAAATAACATAACAGAACTAGGGTTACATGGTCATATAACTTTATATGCAGATGATACATGTTTATTTCATTTTAGAGCTAACATAAATGACGTTATTTTAGGAGCACAAAATGACCTGAACCTTTGTTTGACTGGTTCCAATATAATTTACTCATGGTTAATACTACTAAAACATGCTGCATTATGTTCAAAACAAAAAATAGGACAATCCCATTACATGATCCATTAAAAATTAATCACTCTGCCTTAGAACAAAAATCCAGCGAAAAATACCTTGGCTTAATAATAGACAATTATATAACATGGAACAAACAAATAGATCACATTAAAAATAAATTTTCGACACGTACTGGTTCTCTCTGCAATATTTCTCAATGTCTACCTAGACAGATGTGCTTCACTATTTATAACTCACTAGTTAAATGACACGTACTTTATCTCATAGAAATCTGGGGTAGTGCTGCTAAAACTAAATTACAGGAAAATAATTAAAATACTTTTCCGTTACCCGTACATGACGCCAACATCCAAAATTTATAAAAATACAAAATTAATGAACATTAAACAACTATATATACAGAGTGTCGTTACAATCGCGACAATAAACACACGTCTAACGCTACTTGCCAATAATCATAAAAAATATTAACGTTAAAAAATCCATAATTAAAAAAAAATATTTTTCAAAGAAACTAATTAAGTAAAAAAGAAATAAAATTTCTAACACTGTACAACTACAACTGACTGATTCATACATTTCGAGAATTTTTCATTCGTTGCCACAGCGACACATTACAAGCCTCTCCTTCTAACAGTATGTTTTGTCTCTTTTAAATTCATTCAACCCATTCAGATGCTTTGTGACCTTTAGAAATGTAATTTACGTTACAGTTTTATACGTAAGGTGTTCTAAAATTCTTTGCTTTGGAAAATTTAATAACTCTGTAAATATTGATGTTTAAAGAATAGAAATGTTTAATACAATTTTAAAAAGTTATCCTCTATATGTGTGTTCATTTATTGTCGCGATTGTAAAGACACGCTGTATACAACACTTGTATTCTAATTAGGAAAATAATGGATAAATCCATTCATACTAACTTATCATTTGTAACAAAATCACAAATAAGTAAACCCAGTCTTCGCCGTCCTTGTAGCTTACTTGTATTACCAAAAGTAAGATACGCAAAAAAAGTATAACCTTTGAAGGAGCTCAACTATACAATAAAGTTCTTACTCATATAAAAAAAAAATAATCGCATTTAGCAGTTTTAAGTCTCAATTATCTCAATACATAATTGATAAATTTTCGCCTTCGGTTTGATACATAAAGCTGTTAACTGTTTGGCGACCATAACTTTATTTTATGATTGTATAATAGTATTCTCATGTAAGTGGCATTGTATTGTCTTTTTGGGAATAAATTTCTTTAACCTCATAAATTGAGGTAATTTGTAGTGATTGATCTCTTTCGTCTTTTCCTTTCTGATCAGGCGTCGGAGATTTTCGCTTTCGGTCGCCCAATACGCTTGACTAATACATTCGCTAATGTATTCGAAACTAAACTCTAAAATTTGTAGAATGTCTAATCTACTTCTGGGCAATGAAAGAAAAGCCTTATAACGTAAATGTACCTGTTCGACGCAGTGTTTTATCTCTGTAGTCGTATGCTATATTTGTGTAGATAGATATATTAATATAATTAGGTATGAATTAAATCAGACGGAGCAGCATACAAGCTCCTTCTGATTTGATCGATTCAACAGTGTAAATATAAACAATATATGTCAACATACATAAACATGAATAACTCCCATAAAAAAAATGTAACAGCCAATATATATACGTATGTAACGTCCAAATGCTGGGCAAAGGCTTTCTCTGTACACTTTAATTAAATCGTCTCTTCGACGTCTCAAGCATTCTTTTGATTTAGTTTCTTAACAAATTCTAAAAATCAGTTGATTTCAGGGAAAAAAAAATTGATAAGAACATGAAATTTAATTCATCCATTTTTACTTTTGTTACTCGTAGCTAACTACGTAATTTGGTAGTTCAGAATTGGAACTGGTGCAATAATACGTTTGGTTATTTTCGTTTTAATGCGCACTTCTAACAGAAAGTATCGTTATTAAACCCATATTAGGCTATCTTCAGCGTTAATATTGCGGTTTCAGTAACTGCGCTTTAACAAGTATTTTCAACGGAACGATTTAATGAAAAATACAAATGATGAGTGTATATACCTAATGCAAAATAAATTTCTTTTACTTATAATTTTTTTGTTTAAAAAATGTTTAGTTCGTAAATTACAAAATAGTTTCGATAGTATTTTAATACTACATAAATAATAATAATTCTACCTTATCATATAACACCGCGAGTAATTTTTTGTAC